GGAGCAATGACTGTTGGTGGGTCATCTTTCAGTTCTTACTGCCAAACTGCTACCAGTTCTTTATTTTTGATTTGTGGTTTGAACCTGAAATCATAATACTATAAACACGGGTCATTTTACATTATTTATTTTTTTGTTTTGTTTCCAGGTGTCCTGTTCTCCATGTACAGAGATTACTTTGCAAAGCCTATTGAACAAGAACAGAAAGCAACCCAACCCAAGTGAACATGGCCTCTTGGACTCATATTTTATGTCCCTTAGTATTGCCTCATATTAAGGTGTGCACAAGATTTGTTTCACAGATGTCCTGACTTTTTTTATGCACATGTCTGCTGTAAATAGCTGAAACTATTTGATGACACTGTGCATAGTAGGAGTTGTATTGATCCCATCAGATTTTTCTTGGTTTTATTATCCCTGATAGTTTGGGGGCATTACTGAAAGTTCATCTTCTCTTGCTGTGAGTGAAATATCTACAAAATAACAAAATGAAAATGTATAAACTTTGCTGAACATGTGTGTTACTAAGTTGGGCCTGGATTAAAAATTAACCACCAAATGCTACATATTTATTTTTGTCTCGTATCAGCTAACCATCCCTGTTCATTTCCTGTACTAATACTGGGATGTTTGCCAGATTAAAATTGATTGCACCTGAGCTCATATATTTCTAAATGAGCATCCCAGTGCATTTTGGGTATTTAAAGCCGTTCACAGCACTTGGCTGTCAGATGGAGCAGAGCCCTAAAGTAAAAAAATAATGATAGTGATAAAATAACTGATACTGGTGGTGTTGAGCTATCTTATCCTATAGAAAAAAATCTATATAGCCATTATGTTGAAACTGTGGAGAAAAAAGCTTTAATTCTGTAGCTTTTATGCAGTTTCATTGTAATGGTGAAGTTCTTTTATGTATTTTTTTCACTTCAATTTAGCACTTGCTTCCGTGGAACAGTTATACACTGTGTAGCAGCCTTGTGTTTAATTAGTTGCCTTGTGAAGTTATTCTCTAAGCTAAGTTGTACACAAGTACAGGATGTCATTTTAGTTTGTTTTTTTTAAGTGTTAAAATTGTTTTGTTTTGTTTTTGTATGGATTTGGGTACCTTGATGTATTTTGACTGTTAAATGTTGTCTTTGTGCCATTATATTGTTATTGATCACCCATCTTCTGGGTTGTGTAGTACACCTACAGCAGCTAAAACATTTACAGTTAACAGGAAAGGCTCACAACACTGTAAACTAATGAACTCAGCAGCATGAAAGGACAGACTCTACAGTGATCATAAAGTTCTCCCCAAGTTTGAACCACAATATAACATTGCAGCTTTTTGTTGTTAGGGTCTTTTTTTGTTTGTTGTTGGGTTTTTTTTGTTTTGTTTTGTTTTGTTTTGGTTTTTTTTGAGCTGACGACACAGTTTCTAACAGGTAATCTTCTAACCCTTTCTAATTCTACCAAATAAAGCTTCTGTGATTTGCTCAGTCATTTGCTGTTTCTATTCACTTTCTTATCAGGGAATGCCTGGCATCATTTTAAGCTGGGAAAAATGCTTTGTCACTGTGACTTTGGAAAGTGTGTAAACAGGCATTTCCTTGATATTCTACCTGACACGTGCCATGTATCGTGTTACATCCTGTACCGAAAAGAGCACACCTATCAATGGCATGCGTAAACATGCACAGATCCTGCTGTTATCTTGATTTAGTTGTCTTGCACAAAATTATGCAAGAACAGCATCAGTAAGAAAGGTTGTAGAGTGGTGACCTCAAACAGACTCCACATCTGAATGTATGTGAAGTGACACATAGTTAGGGTCCCGTGGCCCAGGTGACTGCATAAGGTCCAGGGGCCCAAATCAGCCTGGCTCCAATCTGGACAAAGCTATCCAGTGGGATACTAGAAAATGCCAAGGAGTGCATATATTTTGAACTACAGAAGTTTTAATGCTTTGCCTATTCTTACAGATCCACACCACCTAGTGTGATCCGTAACATACCAAAGTACAATAAAAAATTTTGTGAGTTCATAAAAAGTTTATATAATAAATTTATAATTTATAATTATAAATTTATAATTGCAACAAAGTCTGAGCAATAATCTACCAGAACCTTTTCTGTAACATTACATGTCTATAATGTAGTTTACTGGTCCAGCCCACTTCACATCAAAGTGGGCTGTATGGGCACGATGTAAAATGAGTTTGACGTCCCTGCCATTTGGGAATCCATGCCAAATGATCTCTACTAAAAACATAGACTGGATGTAAATACTGGAAATCTTCCAAATGGAAAAAAACTAAATAAACATGTTCTTGTGTGTTACCTGTTTCAAATTGCAAAGTCACATCACATTTACCTCTTACAGTTCAACAAAAACTGCTTTGTATAGCAGCTCAGTTCATATATTCACGCAGGATGTTGCCTAATGATGGCCTAAAGCAGTGGTCCACAGAGGCCCACTGGTGTTTGAGGAATGTCCGAATGGGGGAGGTGGGTGGGTTTGTGCAAGCTACAGGTCTTCATTATAATTATTAATTGACCGAATAAGTTCTGTGTATGCAACAAAAATGAAATGCATTATGAAATGCTGATGATCCAAAGGTAATTTTGCACACTGGATGAAACTTTTCACTGGGTGTCCAATTCGATTGGTGATTGGTAGTTTGCTCTCTTGGTGGGCAAGCTGCTGTTAGGGAACAAAAACAGACCAAGAACACTCTCAGTCATGGATTGGCCTCTCCAAGAGGGCGGTGCTCAATACTAATGAAGCAATGCAAGAAAACGGAGCAAAAGCCAGCCAACATTCACAAGGGTTGTGAAGAAGAAGCCTGGAGACCTTTTCCCAAAGACTACTTAAAGAAATGACAAGAAAGCTTGCCTAAGAGAGTCATTTAGGGATGTTTGCCACATTCACATTGTTTGCACCTGAGCCCATTTATTATTAAATGGGCATCCCAGTACATTTGGAACATTTGAGGAAGCTTTTCACAACATTTAGCTTTGTAGAATGAGTAGAGCTCTAAAATAACTGGTACTAGTGGCCTAATATTAACCCGAAGGAGACATTTATAAAGCCATTACAATAAACTGAAACTGGAAAAGAATTTGAGATGTAATTCTGTAGCCTTTATGTAATTTAATTAAAATGAACTCTTTTTCATTTTTTTCAATGATTTTAATTTTGTTATTTGTGCTACTTTGATATTATATATATACTTTGTAGTAGCCACCAAAATGTTGTTTAACCTGTTTTGTGCTTTAATTGACACCTTGTTAAGCTATTCCGAATATGTCATTTCTGGTCTTGAAGTCAGAGTCTTTCAACTCTGTTAACTGATACACTATTATATTATTTGTATTCATTTTTCCTCTAAATGGGGAATTAACTGCATCATTTTGAGGTATGAAAATGCTTTGTCACTGTGACTATGGGGCTGCTGTGAAAATAGGCATTTCCAAGACATCGTATAAAGTCTACGTGACATCTGCCGAGTATCATCTTACATCCAGTACTGACAGTGTTGGGAAGGTTACTTTTAAAATGTATTCCACTACAGATTAGAGAATAAATGCCCCAAAATGTATTTTGTAATGTATTCCGTTACGTTACTCAAGGAGAGAAACGTATTCTGAAGACTTTGGATTACTTAATATATTATCATGCTTCTTTACAACTACATGAATGTACTATTGCTGTGTGATTTACTACTATTACTGAAGGTTACTCTCCATACCAACACCAGCTAGATTTTTTAATCTTAATATAAATGAGTAACAGTAGGTGGACATTAGGTAAGGCTGCAGTTTTTGAGACCGCTGCCCCCCCCCCGAGTCCCCCCCCCGCCCATACTGTTGTTGTATAGTCTGTCTGCTGTCAGGATGAAGGACATATGATAGCGCTCAGTCCTACATTGTAGCTTTAACAGTCTACTGCTGAAGGAGCTGCTCAGGGACAGATGGTGAGAGTTGTTGTCCATAATGGACATTAGCTTGGCTAACATCCTCCTCTCATCCACCTCCTCTATGGAGTCAAAGTGTCAATAAAGGTCCTTGTAATGTTCTGCACCTCTCAAAAGGCTTCAGCTGACCAGCAGATGAAGACAACTTTGGCCATTCTTGTACACAGGATAAGAGTTATGACCACTCCAGTTTACTGTTAAGATTTGTACGTATCTATCACTTCCAAAACTATCCAACCCGTGGATGTTACAGGCCTACATTATCAGTGCAATATACAGCTAAGCAAAAAGTTATGCCTTTTTGCTTAGCTGTATAGCAACATGAAACAACAGCAAGGATAGGAAGGGGCCTGCCAAATCAAATATGTGGAGCTAACTGCTGTGCTGACCTCTTGTGACTAAAGGAGTAACTCAAAGTAGCTTTGATCTGATCGCATGCTTAAACACCATAGAAGAGTACTACCTCTGGCTGTGATTAAAACCACATTTACAAAAGATCGTAATTAAAATTAGTTAAAAACACTATGGTGTGTATGGTGACATAACATGAAACAAATTGAGCCTATCCAAGCTGTCTGAGGGCAAGAGCTGGGGTACACCCTGGACAGATCTAATGTGAAATATATTAAACTAACTAACTAAATTAAAATTTCCAATTACATTTTTTTGTAGTGGTGAACAATCTACAATCCACCGGAGGGAGCTGCAGTACAAGTAGCCTCCTTATTTTCCACTACACTGGAAAATAAAAACAAAAGAGCAAAAGAAGAACAAAAACAATGGAAGTTTCGCAAAACCTAGGCTATACTGAACGAATACTAGCACAGTGCCCAATAAGTTTAAGAAGCACTGCAGATGCAGAAGGTGCTTTTATCTGTCAGTGCAGTTAAAAAAAAAATGAAGTAAATACATTTGTGCCATAGAAAGTCAGACTTTGAATTAAAGGTGACATATCCAGGGCACAATTAAATAAATATGTTTTAGCCTTTATAAGCGTCCCCTGGTCTCTATGACTACATTTCTGCTCCCGCGAGATGTTGTTTTAAGCTGAGCTGAGTCCCCGGATGGCAGTTGCTATGGATACAGGAGTTGTCTTCACCTGTGGTGAAGTTTAAAACCAATTTGTTTACACGGACCCGACTAATTAACAGGTGAGATATTTTCTCTTCAACTTAATCTCTCTTTAAGGGAACTTTTCGCTTAGGCTCAGAAAATAGTCTTTCGGTACGTACGTACGGTTTACGTACCGTAAACGTCGACTACAGACATCGTTTTAAGGGCATTCTCTCTGTGTCAGATAAGAAGCACAACACGACATAATAGTTTAAGCCTCAGCATTGATTCGATTATAATATCAACCTTTAACTTTCCAATGCCATAAATCAGAGATCATGGAGTCTGAGGATCAGCTGAACGAACTGCGGCTTCAGTTTCAAGCACTGCAAAAACAGCAGGAAAAAAGGAAACAGGAGAGGAAAAAGGAAACACAGCCAGACAAGCTCAATGACAGTGGCGCTCAGGATGATTTGGATCTGTCTAACCAAGGTGTTCAGGCAAGCTGTGATGCTCCCCAAAACAGGTGAGACTTAAATTAAATGTTTTTCAAGGTATTTTCCATAAATGTTGCTACATAAACCACTATGAAGGAATATATTATTCAAGACTGGAAATCTTTGTCATCTGCATGCAGTCATGTGAAAAACTAAGTGGCTTGCAGCAATAACTTTGAGTAATCATTTTCTGTATGATGAATTTTGGCTCACTCTTCCATACAACAGTGCTTTTGTTCTTTGAGGTTTGCAGGGTATGTCCCATGGCCTGATAAGTCAGGCTGAGGTCTGAACATTGACTTGAATTGCAACACATTCTTTTGTTGTTGTTCAGTCAGATTTGCTGCTGTGATTGAGATCATTGTCCTGTGATTGCATGATCAAATTTCAACCAAGTTTGAGTTTTCAGACAGATGTTCTCACATTTGACTCTAGAATACTTTGGTACTGTATACAGAGAAGCAGTGACTGCAAAGTGCCCAGGTCCTGTGGCTGCAAAACAAGTCCAAATCACCACCCCTTCACCACAATGTCTGACAGTTGGTATGAGGCGTTTTTGTGCTGATATGCTGTGTTTGGTTTTTACCAAACATGTTGCTGTGCATTATGGTCAAACACATCCACTTTGGTGGACATTGTTCCAGAAGTTTTGTGGTTTGTTGAGATTCAACTCTGCAATGCCATGCCATGTTCTTTTTAGAGAGAAAGGCTTTCTCTTGGCCTTTCCAAACAAGCCATACTTGTTCAGTCTTTTTCTAATTGTATTGTCATGAACTTCAACATTTAACATGCCAAGTGAGGCCTGTAGATTCTGAGCGTTGCTAAGTCTGTCCTTGGGATGAACTTGCTGGGACACCCACTTTTTGGAAGATTGTGGCACCTGAATGGTCCGGACCAGTAAACTGCCAAAATTTCTGCTTTTCATAGCGCTCACACTTTCTGATGATCAGTTAATTGCACATGGCTGCCACTAACCCATTTAAGGTAACCACTAAAGGTGGACTCAATTTTTCACAGGACTGCACAGAATCCCATGAAAACTGTCATTTTCACATGGTTGTAAATAACCATTCTGTCATGTTACATTCATCCTTGTTCATTTTGTCTTCCATAGGCTGTTGCACATTCAGAATAAGGCCCTCCTTGACCAATTGAGAGAGCTAAAGGATGAAAATGGTCGGCTCTTCAAACTTCTGAGCGAGAAGGATTTTGAAATTAAGCACCTGAAGAGGAAAAGAGATGAAGAAAGACTGGCTTTAGCAGGTATAATGTAAACTGTTTTAATCTTTTTTTCTTTTTTTTTTGCATTGAGATGTTACAGACATGTGACAGCTTCTTCCTGCTTCATCAACTCATCTGTTTAGGTACTTCAGGCTTGGCAGGAGCTGTAGCTGCCACCAAGATTGTTGAGCTATCCAAGAAGAATAGAGAACTAACTGCTGAAATTGAGCAAGAGAAGATTAAATGTAAGCAAAACGGCAACAGAATCAAAGAGCTTGAGAGAGAGGTAAAGTTTTGCTTTATGTGTATCATTTGAAATAATTTGATGCATGAAAATTTGTCCTTCTCAGAAAAACTGTTGTGACTTTCTGTAGCTGCAGGCCATGCTGGTACATGGTGTACCTGGGCAAAAAGTAGATTCAAAGTCACCAGTTAAGATCTCATCTGAAGAATGTGAGGTAAGGAATAATAACAAAAGGAACATTTTGCTGTAGGGTCCTAACTAAAATAATGGCATCACTGAAAGGATCATTTATGACTTGTTTCTGAAAGCAGGAAAGTGCACTGGTTAAATCTCTGCAGGAAAAATTAGCAACTACCCAAATGAAGGTGACTGAGTACCGCAACCAGGTGCAGTCTGCCAAGCAGGAGTTGAAAATGGCACAGAAGGTAGGAGACTTACTTTATTTTCTGTCTTATATGCAATCACTCAAGAAGAATATTTTATATCTGAATGATTTTTCACAAGTGACTTATAGATTCTAAAATATGAACTACTTCAGGTTCTGATTAGTGAGATTGGAGAGGAGGTCAACCTTCAGCAATTACTAAGCTGCCCTGGGAGCTTTAGAGGTCGAGCACAGCAGATACTGGCTCTGCAGACAAGGGTAGGTTCAAAATTGAAGTTTAACTTGATTTTACATAAATGTATTTTAAAGTTAGAACATTATAACCAATGAAGTGCTTTTCAAAATAGTGAGTTCACAGGAAAGCATAAAAAAAAACCCCTGAAACTGAACTGATGATGAACAAAACTTGAACAACAGGTACGAGAGCTTGAGCAGCAGCTGAACAAATCAACACAACAAAGGCAGTCAAGTGTTCTGAGTGGAGAGGAAGAGTTTCTGGGCATGGGTGTTCTTCAGAAAACTCCTCCTCAGGAAAGAAATGTCAACTACATCCGCACTATAGAGAAAGAGAAGAGGGTAGCCCTTGAGGTATGTATAGCCACAACCACAGAGGCCTGCAGACCAACCATTAGTAGCTTGGCGAAAGTGTGTGTGTGTGTGTGTGTGTTTGTGTGTGTGTGTGTGTGTTTTTCTCTTTTTTTTGCCAATGCCAGCCACTTATTAAATGAAAATTTGAATTTCAGAGATATATCAAAAGTTCTTATTTCAAACTGACTATGAGAAATGGGTCCATGCATTCATATCAAGCAGGTTAAACTGTATTGCTGTAAGAGAGTCCTTACACATATGCTGCAAGTTCAGCATTTTATTAGCACTCAAGGAGCGAAGTCACAACAGTGGTTCCAAGTTCAATGCAGAATTACATTTAAAACCCTTCTATTAGTTCATAAAGCTCTCAATGGCTTGGCACCCCCAGTACATCTCTGACTTGCGCAGCCTCTTTAACCCAATTAGACCTCTCAGGTCAGCAGGTGCAGATCTTTTGGCTATTCCCAAAATTAGATTTAAGTGTGCTCAGGTGCTTCAGCTACTGTGGTCCTGTTGTTTGGAACAAGTATCCCACTGACTTGAGGTCAGACAGACTCAAACCATGTTATCCTCACAGGCTTACAGTTAATAATTGTGTGTGTGTGTTGACTTGTATTTTATGTCTCTGTGTTTTTAATCACCTTGAGCCAGTGCAAACCTACATACGTTTTTCTGATTTCATTTCTTATGTTAAGAAAACAGACTTTACATGTAATCAAAAAAAGAAACTCCCATTTAGTGCCTGCTGGAAGTCATGTGCATGTTGGATTGTGAGAGGGTTGTTGACTGGTCTCTCTGTCTGTTTAACTGGGACTTAGGCAATGATTTTATATGAACATAGACATTACATTGTTAATGTGCTAAGGCCCTTCTCTCCTTCCACAACTGTGCAGAGGCTCTCAGTGGATTATGAGGCGCTCTTGAAAGAACACAAAGATGTGAAGCAAAAGCTGGAAGCCTCTAAAGCCAGGAGCAAAACTCTATCTGCTGAAGTCAAAATTCTGAAGCATCAAATATCAACCCTGATGGAGAAGGGGAAACACGATGATGAGTTCGTGGCTGCTTTGATGGTAAGAAATTAGACTGGAGACAAATATCTGGTTAGAGTCGTATAGATTCTAAAACATATTACAATATAAAATTCACAAAATATAAACAAACATACCACTTTGGCCTGCAAGTAGACAAACTGGTGTAACTGGAACTTAGGGCTTATTTCTTCTTTCTTAGCTTGACTTTTACACGGCTAGACCGTCACCATGCGCAGCTTCTCTGACCTTACTTCCCAAAACAGGAAGTGACCTCTGCCCTTACCTTATACCAAAAAAGGAAAATGTTAACACAAAAAGAAAACATACAAAATAAAATGCGTTAGTTACATTATCATTACAAGAGCTCCGCCTAGTGGTCAAATACTAACATTTCACCAACTGTTACAGTACCAATTTCACTTGACATTTATGAGTTGAAGTCAACATACTGCAAAGTAGAGGATATCCTGTGATGTGTCCATGCTTTACTACTACTGTTCCTATAAAGTGTGTATATCTTTTCTACCTCTGGCAGAAGCAGCAGGCCCAGATGCAGATGGTATTAAAACAACTCAGCCAAAAACAAAACGTACAGAGCAAGGTGATGCAGCAGAGTGTAGGACAACAGCTGAGCAACATACCTTCAGAGCACAGTGCTATCATCCAGAGATTTAAGGAGATACTTGCTGAGAAAGATGCCATTATCAAAAAACTACAGAAAAAACAGCAATTCTCTGATAAGGTAATCAAGAAATAATTACCAGGTTTTTTTTGTTTTTGTTTTTTTATTTTTGTGCATTCTCCGAGATTCAGCATGAGATGTCTGACCAGCAATTAAACGTGTGTTTATAGGTGTTGAAGAACGATGATGTGCACAGACAACCCAGCATCAGGATAACAAACTGTACTTCTGCTGTTTCCCCAGAAGAGGGAGACATTACCAAAAGAATTCCATCTTCAGGGTACTTGTGCTGGTTTAATATCTGATAATCATTAAAATATGCTTATTGTTAGTTTAGCTTGGTGGGTCCCAATCTGTGGGATATGGATCCATTGCACGTGGTGAGAAATAAAATATTTAAGCAAAAGATTACTTGAGTAAGATTAAGCTGGGAACCTTTTTTTTTTTTTTTAGGTTTGAGAAAGAATTATGATGTGTTGAGTAAGAACTGTTTTAGCTTCATACAACTTTGAGGAACCCTGATTTACTTCTTCAGGACAGATAATTTTTGTTCATCTCGTCTTCTGTTTTGCACTTGAAACCAGCCTCTGAGGCTAAGTGTCACACATAGCACTGATATCTCTCGTCTTGTCTAGAAACATAAAGCTAAATAATTACCTAAGGTTAACGTTGGGGTACACTGTTATTGGCGTATTGATGACTTCTGTATTCCTGTGGGATTTCTGTTTACCGCCTTCAAATGTTTTGTTTTTCAGTTCAATTTCTAAATTTGGTCACAAACTGGTGCTGCCAGCAGTGGGAAGTGGCATAGAATTCACGTAAGTTTAATGTGTACCATGTCTGCTCTGTACTGACATGGGCAACACTATGAAATTGGTAAACAAAATTCCTGACTGTGACATGATAACCCAAGTCCTCTTTGTGGAGAAGGACTAACAAGCTTGAGAGGTCTGTAGAATATACTGCAGATGTTCTTTTGTAGTTGTTGTTTTTTTTTGTTTTTTTTCAGTCTATCGCTCACAGTGTAATTCTGTCAGTGGGACAGGGTTGTGAAATGCACATCTTTGTGTGAAAGTATAGATCGAAAAATACCACTTCACCTGAAGGCTTGATTGATTCCTCCAAAATACCCAAACAAAAAAAAAAATAGATAAAAACATCGAGCAAGCAGCACAGGTCATGAAATGTCTCCAAAAGCGAGATAGTTTTCATTTTCTTACAGAGGATCCAGATTGCTGTAGCTAACAGCTCTCCAGCTTGATCTGGAACGGCATCTTTATGCCACTGCTGCTGGCTCTCTTACTCATCGAAGATAGTGATGAAGGACTGCTTTATTGGTGAAAAAAGGTCACTTGAGTCGATACCCATGCGGTGATTGTTGGTTGTTTGGTTTTTTTTTGCCAAATGAAGTGGTCGGATGATTCACGCAAATGTTCTTTCTTCACATTTCAAGTTTGCACTTTTGCGTACTGCACAAAGGTAAAATAGCCACTTTTATTTTCTTGTCAGTGTAAAAATTAAATGCTATAATGCTGCACAACTAAAATGTTAAATCAGTTTGTATATTTCCATCCCAAGATTACAAACACAGGGAGGCTATTGACTGAGTAATGTCTGTGGTGTGCACTAATGAGAGCGTGGTGGTTTATTTTACAGTTTTCAATTTAACGTCAGAAATTTAATGGTGCAAAAATGAAACTTTTATATAAAATTACACATATTTATCAAGCTAATAGCTTGTCTGGGTAAGTATAATCTATATTTGTCATTCCAAAGCTGTGTCTGTTAAGAAGAATTCCGTTGGATTAACTCTAATGCAATCCAACATTTGTCTGACTCTTCTAGAGAGAAAGTGATGAGCCACACATGTTTGGAGGCACAAGCACCAAGAGGAGCACCACAGGCCAGTGATCCTGGAGGAGTTTAAGAGGCCAAAATTTGATTAAAGTAAACACTGTGCATGCAACATGGCTAGGACTGATATGCCAAGGCTCAGTGACAACATGATGTGACAATATCAGGATTTTTTTCTTCTTCTCTTTTTTTTTTTTTTTTTTCTTTTTCCTTTTTCAATTTCCCCCTTATCTTTCTTGCACGTGGCTATCACAGCTCTGTCGGCAGGAGCAGAGTCCCTGAGCACCATGGAGTCTCTGAGCAACAGGAACTGTCCACAGACAAACCTGAATAGACTGTCCAACAGTCCAGCATTTGTAAACACTTTATTTCTTTGACAACACTGCCTTAAACTGGTTCTGGTTCAGGAGTTTTCTTTCTCCAACCATAAGAGTTAACCAGACGACAGAAATAATGATGTGCGGCGGTAGACACGCTGCAGACAGCAGTGCTCATTCTGCCCGTCACATCGAGGTTGCACGGAGATGTTCATGTTGTTCTTGTATGTTGTCTCTTGGCTGGTCATTCAGCTGGAGGAAACGCGGGCGCTGAGGGCATCCCTAAAGAGCACTCTCCACCATGACCTGCAGCTTTCAGTGACGTGATGAGACAAGTCAGGCATGTTTTCCTGGAGGCTCTGTGACAGCACAGACAAGACACTAACCAGGGGAACTGGCTGGTCCCTGCTCAGCCTCACTTCCAGCTGAGCCCTACCTTCTCCTGTCACATGTGACAAAACAGCAGCCTGCAGGAGAAAGGAAAAAAAAAAAACTCTCCTCTTCAGCCACGCAAACATTATATGCATCTCTGACTTTCTCTCCATTTGAGTCCCCGAAAGACAGTTTGCGACGTAAGGTCGGGTGACCTCGGTTTAACGACTTAAGTACCTTGAGTAAAATAGCTTTCAACTTAACCCTGATGGCATCAGACAAGTGTCCCGGGTGATTGCAGGAGCGGTCGGTGCTGATAAGACGTCTCCCCGTGGTTTCACATCTCGTCTGCTCGCTGTTTTATAAATGTCACTGTCACATTTTATTAAATATATATTTGTCTTTCCTCGGCTGGTAACCTTAAATGCATTACAGGTATCGAGACCAATGCTGTCTGTTTTCAAAGTAAATATTTTCTGTAAACCAAAGAAACATCCAAATTAATCAGTGAAAAGGAACCGAACCCTCAACAAATATTTTCAATACATTGTTTACCTTCATGGCGATGACTTTGGTTGATTTTTTTTCTTTCTTTTTTTAAGGTTTTTTTTGGCTCCATACAGTTGTAAATAAATGTGCGACAGGCCAGGCTAAATAGTAATCACCCCAGTTAAGTTCCCAAATCGTTTCAATATTCCTATTAAATATTAACACTAATCATTTCTGACTTGAAACCAGTTTTGTGGGAATAGCGGTTGAAAATAACTGCAAACTCAAGCTGCACAAACTCCCACTGTAGTCCTCTATACATTCCCCAGAGCAGGTCACACATGTACAGTATATGGCTCTTAATCCAAAGGTTGTCTGGATATGCCCAGTGGGAGTGGCTCTTACATTCATACTAACATCCGAGTTATTTTCTTCCGATGTAGCCAAAAGGGTTTCAGCAGAACATCCCCCCCTTTCCTCCCTCTCCACATCACGCTTAATTTAAAACCATGGCTGAGTTAGTGTGCTGCTTCAAATACCGCACTATGTCTTCCAGGACCCTGTGGGAGATTGGCAGGTCCCCATTGGACTGAGCGAGAAAGTGCCACAAGACAAAAATATCAGAGTTTGGACATGATGAAGAAAGCCTTTATGCTCAGAGTAACAAAAAACAGCTTGTGTTTGAATACCTCCTGGATGGAAGGTGAGGCGCTCTTTAATGCAACAGAGTGAGACGTGTCACCGTAAGAGCAAGATGAGAGACGAGAAGATGAAGATTGCCAGATACGTATCAAGTGAGGAAATGTGCGTCAGAAAGGGTGTTGATGGAGCAAATGCTTGTCACGGTCCCTAACTGCGTCTGATTGCCAGGAAAGCGTTCAACTTCATATGGTTTTTTTGGGGGGTCATTTTCAAACTTTGCCACAAAACTGTACTTTATATGAAGCCAGCGTTTGAGCATTTTCGCAAACCTGTAATCGTATATAATTTTAACGCAGTGCATGACTGCAAGAGGGACATTATTTCCATCCTTTTTCAGTGAGCTTTTCTTTTTCAGACATGTTATACTGAAGTTTCAGTTGACCTAATATCAGGGATTAATGTGACTGCTCATGTTGACTTCAGTTATTTAAGAGTGTCATCACTTTCAAATAAATTACACCTTGCCAGACAATTTTATTATTGTTTTATGTAGCTGTATTACGCAGAAAGGTGTAGATTTATTCCAAAATGCCCAATAACCCACCAAACCAAACACAAACTTATGTAAACACAGCATACGTAAACAGCCTCACCTATTTGTCATTCCAAGTTTGAATGACTCCTTTCTCCATCCTTCTCCTCAGAGGTATTCCCTCGTTCTGGACCAATGCTTCCTGCAGACCATTGACTGCATCCAGAAACTAAAGTAAATAGTGCAGCTGTGAACGCAGAGGTTAAAGTTAGCCATCAGTATATGAGGGATCTGTGAACTTTGCTCAGGCCAGAAAACGGTTTGGACCTCTATGCGTCCATTCATCTCCCAGTCCCTCTCATTTACATGTAATGGAAAGAAAATAAACAGCAGGGTCCTAATGTGCTCATTTACAGTAAGTAGAATTAAAGTAATGAGTTTTTATCTTTTCCAGGTCGCGGTGAGGGAAAGGGTAAAGATCAAAGTGTACGGGGTGAGTTAACGACACTGAAATTGATTTTAAAAATCAGGTGCGGAGGTGTTCACTAAAGCCTCGTGAGGCTCGTGAGCAGATCCCCTCAGCATGATACTCATTTGTGCCTCTTGCACCCATATTTCAAACTTTTTGAGTCTTTTTTTGTTCATTTTCAAACTCCTTCCTTTGCTTACACTTCGTATATGTACAGTGCAGTGAGTCAATACTGCGTGAGCCCTGTAGTAATTTCAGTTTGCTCAGATATGTTTAAATACAAGTTGCGTCACTAGATGGCAGTGTGGTCAGTTAAGTACAGTACTTGATGGCGACTCCTATGTTTTGATCTGAAGCCAAAAATGAAATTAAATGGATCCTGCAGGATTTATGTGACACTAACAGCAAATATGTGCATTATCAGTTCATACAGCAGAGTTTAATTGTCGTTATTGTGACACAGTTGTCATTTAATCATTGATTTTTCCAGCTTTTGGAGTTGATAAAAAGGATGAACACAGTTATAATACAGAATTATTAATACTGGAGACTAAACCAGCTGTGATGTTTTGGTTGAGATACTTGAGAGGACAACACACTGATTCTGGATCAGAGGGACTGCTTACAAAAATGCTGTCTTATGAAAAACTGTAGCTCCTCACAATCTGTGCTCAAAGTGCTCTGTCATTGAAGGCTGCGTTCCCCCCCTCCCCATTCGCTTTAGTAACCCAGTGTTGTTCTCGACTCATGGCTCTTCCACATCTAATCCTCCCGGCAATTTTCTCACTCTAAATTGAATTTTCTCACCATGTTGTATCAAACTTGGTAATAATCAATTTCTTCTGGAACCACTCCACCTTATATCCGATGATGGTCATGGGAAATAAAAAAGGATAAAAAAACTTCTTTGTTTTTATTCAGTATTATTTGCCCAACTTCTTTTGAACACGCTTGTTTCGTCATATGTATGCATCACCACTGGTGCAGATATCCTTTATGTTCCTGCAAGCAGACTTTCCGCCTGACTGCAGCTGCGTGGCAGGACGTCCTTTAACAAGCAAAAATTGTTTAATAAGTCCCTTAGCGAATGCTTCCATGTTAGAGTTGACATTTTGCTCACAGATATGATCACGGTTAATGAGATCTGCAGCCTTCTGGAGATGTGTGCGAGAGCATCACTGATAACAAGGGTGTGATTTTTTTTTTCTAGTTTTACCTTTGTCGGAAAGTTTTAAAGAAAGAGAGAGAGATGGAAATAATTGGGGGAGACAAAGGGGAATGACACACCAGCTGAGATGCAGTGAAGCCCCAGGAGGCCAGTTGCTCACAAAAATGCTGTCTGTGTATGTTTTCTGAATATAAATGTATGAATATTTGTTTTGACACAACAGTCACATCCACTAATTAACACTTAACAGGTCCTGAAGGTGTCTGTGCAAAATCATATAATGTAGCATGTAGGCGTGTAAGGGTGGAAAGTGGTTGAATATTCTCAGGCAAGACAACAGATACTCTCTAACTCTTTTCAGCTAATCATTCAGATTATGACTTCATATTGAATTAGTAAAACAGGGTACCACCCTGTGTGTTGTACTACTAACAGTTGCTTTATTTCAAAAAGCTGACACTTTTTAAGAAGCTTGATACATAATAAATACATAAATAAATATATATATTTGTGTGTGTGTTTTACCATTGTTGTTTTCTACTACCATAGCATAATGTCTCTGAGCATGTTTCCTCTTTTGCACTGAATCTAGTTCAGCACATAGCCATAGGACGAAAATGTCAAACATTTTGGGAGACCTTTTGACTCCCTGCATAATAATCAGACAAGCCATTTGACCTTTTCTGAGGCATGAACATGTAACAAGTCATTATTATCATGTTTTTGACCAACACGAAGAAAGCAAAAACAAATCAGCGTCAAACAGTAAATAAAATGGGCAAGTGAATTAATTTTGGTGAAAATATCTGTTTGTCTTCTGCAGCTTATCTGGGTCGCAGGGGCAGTTTAAGCTGAGATTCCCAGACCACCTCCTCCCCAGCCACTTCCTCCAGCTCTTCTTGGAGGACGCAGAGGACAGCTGAGAGATATAATTTCTTCTGGGTCTGCCCTGGGTCGCATCCCAGTTGAGCATGCCTGAACTGCACTGACTCAGTGTGGTGGCGATGTGGCTCTATTTTGAGCCCCTCCCAAATGATCGAGCCCCTTACCCTAAAAGAGAGCCCAGCCACCCTTGGACGAAGCTCATTTCCACCACTTGTGTCTATGATCTAATTGTTCAGTACTCACAGCTTGTGCTGCCATAAGTTTCCTTACCAAACTTATGGCTGCATGCCCATTACTACAGATACTGCACCAATCCATCTGCCAGGCTTCTTTTCCTTCCCTCACTTGTGAACAATGCCCCTGGAGTTGATGCTGTGCCTCTGAGGTGGATACAGAATCTGTGACAAAGGGCAGTCCTGGATCCTGAGTCCAACACCCACTGGGAACCAGCATGACTTCTTGCTGGGAATGCAAACCAAACTCTCACAACAGTTGTACAGGGACCAAATAGCCCATAACAAAGGGCCTGACACTCCATACTTCCAAAGTACCCCCTACAGGATATATCCTACAGGTCACCCCAAAGGGGACTTGCTCTCTCCAAGTCCACATAGCACATATAAACTGATTTGTCAAATTTTCACACACCCCTGCATATCCTCAAGAGGATAAAGAGCTGGTCCAGTGTTTTCCTGAAGGAAAACCACATTGTTCCTCCTCAGTCCACAGTTTAATAACCAGTGAACTCTCTTCTCCAGTACTCTGACATAGACCCTCCCAGGGGGCCACAAAGTGTAATTCCCTTTAAGTTGGAAGCGACACTGCTCCCTTTTTTAAAAAGGGAGGACCTCCATCTCAAATTTGTCAATCAGTCCCAGACTTCCATATGAGGCATGTAGAACAAGACAGTTCAACAAGAGCCTTAAACGTACATTAAGTCATTTTTTAAAGTTATTTAACAGAAAAAATTATATTGTACTCATGAATATACATTTATTACTGTGTAATTGCATCTTCCAACATATGATCCATTCCTATAAACTTAAAATTAACACATTTAAAAAAAAAAGGAGAGGACAGCGGTTTGTGGAAGCTACCATGTAACTTTGCTATCTTGAATACGGTGGCTGAGATGGACATTGCTGTTCTGCCTTATCACAGTCTATGACCAGCCAGTTACGTAGGATGTCTTATAAGTTACTTTTAATTTCATGATCACAGATAGCTTTTTAAAACACTATATGTCCATTTAACATTTGTGAGTGTATCTTTTCATCATTTCTTTGTGATCATTTCTTTGTGATCATGTCTTTCTCCTCCTCCACCACTGCTCTCTTTTCTCCCGTATTTCCATGTCTTCATGTTCTTCTTTCTCACCTCAAACCTCAAGCCCACCTCAAGCAATGCTGTTATTTTTAGTCACAAAGGGTAGCGCATTCAACAATTTTTTAGCACTTTGTTAAACTTCAGAAATAATTAGGCAATAAAAATTCAGTGACTCTCGCTTGGTCCCCTTTGTACACTGTTTGCAGGTAAGAGTACAGATGTCCGTATAAGCAAGAAACACTTCTAAGAAGCACCATTGCACTACTTTTTGCCATTTTTGCAGGAAGAATAATACACATCTTTGAAGGAATTTATAGTTCTCTTGGAAGTACAAAAAGTAAGCAAGTGTGCCAGCCACCACGGCTATATAGATGGCAATATTGTACTGTTGAGCAGTTTCCTTTTCCTTCCCTTTGTTTTCTTATTTTTGCAATTCATGCTCACATATATCGACACTAACAGTGTTATCTCTAAACACAGATTATGTGACGTGCAAGATAATTACTTAGAATAGATGCACCATGGTAGAGTTAATCCAAGAAGCCAAAAGATCCCTGAAAGCAACAAAACCAAGAAAAAACAGATGTTTTAATCATTGCATTGAAATGAAATAGCATGTGTATATTATCATAAATTAATTAGCTTGTGACTTTGTTTTCTACCACTGTCTGCGATTTTTATCCTGTGGGATTTTTTTGTGTTTGTTGCAGGTAAGTTCATTTCCTTACACTTTTCCATGATTCATTTGATAAGAGGGACCACAGGAAGTCTCATCTAATGCATTTGGCACCAGTGTATCAATATTCATTAGAGAAAACAAAGCGATATGTTGTTGTATAAATATTTTTGCTCACCATCAATTACGATCACGGTGGTATAGAATCAAACAAGATTTGGATTTGCTCAGGGTTTTGAGGTGCACTCAGTAGATATGTGAAGTGCTTCAAATGTAAAATATGAAGCTGGTGCTTCATTTTTTATACTTTAACCTTGGTTAAAAAAACAAAAACAAATGTGTAATGGGTGTGAATTGGCTGTTCAGTCTTTCATAACCATCTCATTTTACATATAAAATGCCACAACAAAGCATCATTATCACTAAGGGTTGCTTCTCGGCAGACCTGCTTGCCGCATAAATATAATGCTAAGCTAGAGAGGAGACACTCACTGTGTAATATAT